CCAACCATGAGATCATGACCTGAGCTAAAATCAAGAGTCAGACATTTAATCAGCTGAGCCAACCAGGGGCCCCAGTAAGTGCTTTCATTTTTAATAAATGGAGGAGACCATGGTTTGTTCATTCAACCAATATTCCGTGACCACCGTCAGCAGCAAGCCTCTGCTGGCCAGCATGGGAAATACACAGCTGGTGGAGGCCCACCTATCCTATTGAGGAACAGAATCGGGGACCAAAGCAACAACATGAACCCCACACAGACGGCTGAGCTCGGGCCCTCCCGCATGCGGGGATGTGGAGGAGGGCCGGCCGTGCACCTGCTGCGTTCACGTAACTGGCGCTTCACCTCGGCGCCAGCTTCTCAGTTACCCCCAGGACTCCACCGTTGATCCCGTTTGGTGTCCACAATCTGGAGACATTCCAGGACTGTGGGTTTCTGCTGTCTTCTTAGAAAGACTCGCGTGCCTGATAGGCATGAGCCCGGGTGAATGGAACACAACGCAGCTGTGGAACACGCTCACTTCCATAGCACCTGCCGGGTAGAGGAGGGCGGCACCCGCCCTTCCTGTGCGTGCAGACTCTTTCTTTCAGTGGAGGGATATTCCAAGCCACTGGGTCCCGTAGACCGGGCATCTGGACCACCTGCTGCCTGATGCGTGAGTGAAATCTGTCTTATGGGCTGGGACTTTGCTCTCACCTTGAAAGTGGGCACTTAGGGAACGGGGCAACGGAATGTGTTTGCGGTAAGCGTGATTTTGACCTACGGTTCACGCTAATGGACGGAGGAAAAGGCTTTGAGCATCGAGCCGTGTGAATTAGCAGAAGGCACCGGACGTTTGAGGCCAGCTAATTCCAACAGTCAGGAATTTAGTTGAAACGGTTTCAAAAATGTATCACAAGGAACTAAATGGTAGATGAGCAGACCGCAATGAGAAGGAAATCCTTCAGGAAGTTTGAGCAATAAAAACTATAGAACAGCAAAGGGACGGGCAATCCCCTCATTGCACGGATAGGTAAACGGAGGCCCAGCCAGAGTCCAGGAGCCCATCCAGGTGTTAACAAAGCCGAGACAGGAACACGGGGCTCCAGACGTGCTGTTCTCTCCACGTCGCCTCCCTGACGGCACCGAGGCTGTCTGCGCAACGTGTCACACGCTGACACCAGAGCCCGCTGCGTGAGGCACAGGTATGATGGGGCACAAATGTGGCCGACTCCCTCCTCCTTCTCATTCTGCCCTGACGCCCCCACCCCCACACTTCCCACTGTCTATACTCTGCGATTTTTCTACTCTTCCTCTTTTTCTCTCCTCCACTGCCCCGCTGGCCACCCCGCAGGGCTCTAAAGGAGAGGGGGCC